GGGGGGGGGGGGAGGGAGGGGAGGGTCGATCGAAGCGATGGGCGAAGGTAGATTGGACTGTGTTGGTGAGGGGGGGGGGGGGACGGTGGCTAGGGTGATGGAGTCGGATCGGTGGAGAGAGAGGCGGCAGCAGTGGTGGAGGTGATCGAGGAGACCGTGGGGGTGCTGGAGGCAAAGCCGCGGACGGTGGAAAAGGCGCGGGAGGCAAGATCGAGTGAAGCGCGTGGGATGGTGGCGCCGAGAAAGAGGCAAGCGAGACGGACTGGGAGCGGGAGGGCGAGGCAGCAGACGGCAGCGACGGGAGAGATCCAGAGGACGACAAAGGCGACGAGCGAGGCGAGCGGGAGCATGCACATCAGCTCTGTGCCCAGCGGACGCTTGGACAAGTCGCCTGGGAAGACGGGCAAGCGAGAGGGAGGCGAGCTGGAGGAGCGAGGCCAGGAGGACGACGCCGATGCAGAGGCAGGCGGCGACGCGCGAGTCGGGAAAGTGGACGATGACCGAGGCAGCAAAGGGGAGAAAGGACGAGATGGCGAGCGACTCGAGGGTAACAAGGAAAAAGTACAGTGACTGGTGCTCGATGCAGTGCGAGAAGACGATGCGGTTCTGGTACCAGAGGATGCCCGAGACGACAAAGGCAAAGGCGTAGCCGAGGAGGCGCGGGCCGGCGGCGAGGAGGAACTCGTCGAGGCGGTAGCCGCGGGAGAGAAAGTCGTCTGGGATGCGGATGTCGAGGACGATGAGGGTGGCAACGACGGCAAAGACGCCATCGGCGAGCTGGTTGAGCCGGACAAGAGGGACGCGGTGGATAAAGGCGCGGTACGAGGCAAACTGTGGGTGGTCGGACGACCACGAGTAGAGCTCGTGGGCGGCGATGGCAAGCGGGATGGCTAGATAGCCGATGTAGATCCAGGGAAAGACGGTATCCGAGGCGAGGGCAATGATGAGGATGATGAGGTGTACGGCGACCTCGAGAATGACGCGGATCTCTTGCTTGCGGAGGGCGAGGAGCGGGTAGCCGCCAGTAAAGGTGGCATCAAAGCGGAGGGCGGCGAGGGTAGTGGCAAGCGAGGCGAGCGCAACGGCTAAAAAGTTGGTGATGAGGACAGTGCCGGCGAGCGAGCGGTACGACGCGAGGGCCTCGGACTTGACAAAGGTCGAGGCGGCGATCGAGGCCGAGAGCGGGAGAACGCCGAGGAGGAGGATGGTGGTCATGTGAGCGGCGATGGTGAGCGGCGAGGCTGACTCGACTAGAGAAAAGAGGCGGACGGAGCGGAGCCAGTAGACGTAGACGATGTTGATGACGATGATGAGCAAGACGCCCTCGTAGACCTTGGAGGCGAGGGCAGCCACAAAGGAGAGCGTGTCCGAGTGCTCCAGATCCTTGACCTGCGACTTTGAGAGAATGAGGGTGGCAGCGAGAATGGTGGCGATGACCGAGAACAGCGCATCGGTGAAGGAGAGCACGGGCTCCTTGTCGTACAGTCGCACCCGTCCCGATCCGCATCCGCGTGCTGCCCGAAATCGCATGCCTGTCACCGCCTCGCCGCCGCCACCACCGCCGTCGCCGCTGTCGACCTCGTCGTCGCTCCAGGATGCCTCCCATGTCGAGTTGATGGGTGCTGTGGCCGAGCGCGCCGCGAGGAGGCTGTCGTGTTCGTGGGGCATGGTGCAAGGGGGGGGTGGGGGGAGGGGGGGGGGGGGTTGGGTGGTGGGGGGGTAGGAGGGGGGGAGCGGGATCAGAGCGGGCAGTGCGGCCAAGGAGGGGGGGGGGGGGGGGGATCGCCTTTACTCGTCATCAGAGGCAAAATCGGCGGCAGGATCGCGGGCAAGGGCGCCCATGGGGTCCCACGCCGGGAGAACGACCGGCTCCGAGGCGAGGACGGCCTGGAGCTCGTCGGGGAGCGCGGTCTTGGGGACGACGATCTGGTAGACAAACTCGTCGAACCAGGCCGAGGACATGACGAGGAAGCCATCCTTGCCGGTCCGGGTCGTGCCCCACGAGTTCTCGACGCGGAAGGCGTGAACGTTGCGGGTGCCAGCCGGCGTGACATCCATGTCAATGCCAGTGAAGACCATGGCGTGGGTCATGAGGCTCTCACCGTAGCGGAGGCGGGTCGCCTTGTCCATGTGGAACGACGTGCCGCAGACGAGGTCGTAGTCAAAGACGGCAGTGTCGAGGATGCCTTCCTTGCGGAGGAAGAACTTGCCGACGTCGCAACCGAACCAGACCGACTTGTCGTCGATGATTGAGTCGGCGACAAGGTTGCGGAGGACGTCGATGGGCGCGTTGAGGTAGCGAACGGGGCGCCGCCGACGACGTTGCCGAGGTGGGCGACGGTGTACATCTGGCCGTACTCGTTGCGCGGGTCGTTGATGACCGAGACGTAGTCGTTGACGTCAAACTTGACAAACTTCTCCGCAAAGGTCTTCGGCGTCAGCCCGGTGTACCGCTTGAACGACTTGCCGTCCTTGGAACGGACCGACCAGTCAAACTTGGTCACAGGCGTGCCGAGGTGGATGCAGATGATGCGGTAGAGCTCCTCCATCATCTCGGCCTTGAGTGTGCGAACCTTGTGCCCGCGTGCAGCCTTGGCGGCAAACGTATCCTCGCCGTCGGTCACCCCGCACTGGGTGCGGAAGACGGACGCAAACTCGCGGAGCTTGTTGGCCAGCAGCCAGTTGAGCTTGCGCGACGCGCACGAGGTCCACGCCTCGGGCATGGCGGTCTTGGGCACCAGCCCGTACTTGTTGATCAGGTTCGCGAGCATGTCCCACTGCCCGCCGTCGTTGATCGGGTCGCTCAGCAGGTGGTGTTGGAGCCGCGAGTCGACGTCCTCGTCGAGCGTCGAAATCATGACCTCTAGAAAGTGGTTGCACCGCTCCACCTTGTCCCAGAAGAACAGATGCGTCTGAGAGAGCTCCCAGTCGGCCGGCAAGTCGTGCTCCTTGATGATGTCGCGCCGGATGACGCCGAGGCAGGCAAAGATCCAGCACCGCCCCGACGACTTTTGGTCGGCCGCCTTGCACTCGCCTGACACCACGTGCGAGAACGTGTGATGCGAGGTGTCGCCGCGGGTCACAGAGTGGGCCGTGAGGACCTGCGGAGTGGAGGGAGTGGGGGGGGGGGGGGGGGGGTTAGGCTTGTGTGCCATTGACAACCATCGATTATTTGCCATTGACAGCCATCGATTATTTGCCATTGACAACCATCGATTATTTGCCATTGACAACCATCGATTATATGCCATTGACAACCATCGATTATTTGCCATCGTGCACAATCGACCACCATCGATCCATCACCACACACCACTGCACACCATCATCCACCAACCCCACCCTCACACCCTACTATCCTCAACCCCCCTCCCATCTCCCCACTCCCCCCCCCTCTCCCCCAGTATCCGACAAAAAGCCCGCCATCGCACCCTCCGCCACCCGCAGCACGACCCGCAGCCACCCGCTCCCCACTCCCCTCCCGTCCACCCGCGCACTGGCGGACGTACCTCGTGGACGTCGTTGCGGACGCAGGCATTGACAGCAAGGAGGTTCTTGCTGTCAGAGGTGAAGCTCTCGTGGATGCTGTCGAGGAACTCGGGCGTGAGCTCACGCTCGGTGGTTGTCGCTGCCATGTTCGCTGACGTTGTTCGGTCGCTGCGTTGAGTGGTCGTCCGCGCCTCCTTTTCTCCTTTTTTCAGGTGACGACGGCGTGACATTGTCGCCAAGCTCACTGTGCGGGTGTCTACCACGGCGCACGAGCCATCTCGGCATCGCGTCATCGCGCTGGTGGACGGGAAGAGCATGCAATCGTCGCCAGCTCACCCAAATCGCTCGTGATGTGCAGGAGTGCCAGTGAGCATGGAAGAGCGCCACAGCGGCGTTGAGGTCAAGTAGGTCAAACAAGAGAGTCGGCGATAGGGATGATGGCGAGAATGACAGCGTTGGCAGGGTAGATGGACGCCATCATCGGCCTTGACGGTCAGCATCGTCGCCCCCGGGTGAGCGGACGGCTTCTATCCGCCAGCGCTTGATCATAATGCTGATCACAACGCTTTGAATTTAGATCGCGGTCAAAAAGGCGGTGATGTGGTCGTCCGGCTGCTGATGACTCACGCTTGCGTGATCTTTCTCTAACCCGAGCGTGAGTAAAGAGTCCACTGGGCCCGACTTGGCGTTGAGGTCGCCGAAAATCCGTGATCTTGCGTTCGCGGACGATTTCCGGGAAAGAGAGCGATACGGCGCTACAGATAAGCCACTGTGGATCATGATCAAGCATGTAGACCAAAGCGCTATGTACACAACACCATCAGGATGCTGCTGTGTGCATATTGCTCCGCCAGCAACCAGAGCAGTCCCATCAATGCCAACGTCCGCCAACTGTCGGGCATCGATCGCGCTCCCAACACGAGCTCGGCGCCATGCACAATGGCCCTCCCGCGCCGATCACAGGCTTCTTTGCTTCACAGAACAAGACAATCGTCTACCGACCACTTTTCATTATCTAAGTAGCTGCATGAGTGTGGCATCAATCATGTATGGCACCAGGTGAGGCCGACGAGTGCTCGCTGTGCCTGGCCGCCAACTCGCTTGAAGTCGGCGCGCCAGGCCGGCCTCTCCCACCCACCCACACCCGCTGCGCCACGGCACGGCACGCCACTCACCAGGGGACGAGAGCGAGGGCGGGCGACGGCACTAGTGGCGAGCGGCATGACAGACGCAAGTAGCGAGTCGAGCAGAGACAGAGACCTGGCTGTTGTGGCTGGTGAGCTGAACGGAGGTGGCGGGCTGCTGGAGGCGCGGACAGAGGCCGTCCAAGCCAGCATGGGCGCGACGGGCATTGGTGGCGGGTGGTCACCCGAGACCGAGTCTGGTGATGGCTACGGCCCGGAGCCCGAGTTCTTCTCGCCGCTGCCGCGGAGGCGGCTGACCCGATCGATGCTGTCGAGCGAGACTGGCTCGGACGAGGAAGGCAGGACCGGCGCGGCTGCCCGCGCGGCGGATATGCCGAGGGCGCGGGCAAGATCCGGAATGAGGCGGGCCGGTAGGCAGGGGCGAGGCCGAGGTCGCATGTCGGGGCTGGTGGTTCGTGAGCGGCGGCGGACGCTGCGGCGGACCAATCCGGAGGCCCGGGTCAACATCCCGCACTACGCGCCTGTGCCGCTCAAGGAAGAGTACGGATTGCAGGGAAGACTACCAGTTGGGCTCGACTCGCCGCATCATCCGCTCTTTGGCTCGCGTAAAGCAGCCGATGCTGGCTCGCTCGGCGTGACACCTGTTGTGCCGCGGTCGTACGCGCCGCGAAATCGTGTGGCACTCGAGCGCAAGCAGCGGGCGCGGGCACGGGCGGCGTTTGGCGGGTTCGGGAGCGAGTGCTTTGACGTCGACTCGGTCCATAGCACCCCGTCCCGCTCTGCTCAGCCAGGCTCATCGCTGTCGTCCTCTTGTTCGCCCGGCTTTGTCCTCCCTATCCGCAACATAGTCGCCGACGGCGCGGACTGCTCCTTTGTCACGGGCCTCCGTCGCTCTAACAGCTAACACGACGACGTAGCATCCGACAATCCACCGTGGCATGCATTATGTAGCATGTAGCGCGAAGGTCGAGTAGAGCACAAGTGATGTGACCCATCGTCTCTCCAGTGGCGATGAGAGCCACGTCCGGCCGCCGCACCAACCGATTGTGACCAGAGTCCGCGTACACTGTCAATCATGCTTATTGTTAATCACTGATCCCCCCTCTCCCCTTCCCCGACCCTCCCTGCCCCATCAAGCTGGCTGTCCCATCAAACTCCGCTGCCCGCCTCGGCTCCTGCTCCAGCTGCGGCACTGGCTCGTACCGGTGGTGCCCGGCGCGACTGCGCGTGACACACGCCACTCACCCCCTCCCCCCCCCCCCCCCACACACACACCATGAGACGGAGAACAGCGTCATACGTACAGCTCCTTGCGGACGAAGAGCCACCGGAGGAGAGCCGACGGGAGAAAGAGGCGGTGGTGACCAAGGAACCGGTGTCTGTGGAGGAGCTGGCGGCGGCGCGTGCGAGACTGCAGCAAGAGCGAGGACCTGATCTATGGGAGCCATCACCACAGGGAGTCCATCCACATACTCCGCCGGAAGCAGGGAGCGAGAGCAGGGATGGGAACGAGCATGGGTCGGTCAAGAGGATGCTGAGCTCGGTGTATGGCTTGCCGCTGGCATCGGGCTGGTGCATGGCTGATGAGGCGGTGAGGCAGCTGCTGCCGCCGCTGAGCTGGCTGCCAAAGACAAGCCGGGCGTCGATGTCGGGTGATGTCATTGCGGGGCTTACGCTTGGGATCATGCTCATTCCGCAAGCGATGGCGTATGCGCTACTCGCAGGCCTCCCCCGCAGTATGGCCTCTACACTGCCGTCTTTCCGCCGCTCATCTACGTGGCGCTGGGGACGACGCCGGTGCTCTCGCTCGGCCCGTTTGCACTCATCTCGCTGCTGGTGGCCGAGTCTGCGCCTGCGGTGGCAAATGCTTCCACCGGGCCGGAGTACATCGAGGCGGTGACGCTGTTGTCGCTCCTCACCGGGCTGGTTCTCTGCGTCTTTGCGCTCCTCCGCATGGGCTTTGTCACGGTCTTCCTCTCGCCGGTCCTCGTCTCGGGATTCACGACTGCCGGCGCGGTCCTCATCGCCACTTCGCAGCTCAAGCATGTGTTCCAGGTCCATCCACCGCCGTACGACGGATTCTTTGACCCAGTGCGGACATGGGTGTGGATTGCACGGCACTTGGGCGAGACCAACGTTGCGTCACTTGTCCTCACGCTCGCCGCGTGCATCCTGCTGGTGGGCATCGACTTTGTCAACAAGAGGTTCAAGGGCAAGCTCCCCATCCCGATTCCGGCGCAGTTTGTGGTGCTTGGCCTCGGCCTGCTCGCATCATACGCGCTTGACCTCGAGCACCGGTTCGACGTCTCTGTTGTCGGCACCATTCCGGCCGGCTTTCCGGCGCCGCGGGTTCCGACGCTGAGCGGCGAGCAGATCGAAGCGGCGCTGGTGCCGGCGACAGTGCTGGCGGTTGTCTCGTTTGCCGTCTCGATCTCGATTGGCAAGACGTTTGCCAAGGAGGTGGGATATGTTGTGCGGCCGAACCAGGAGCTGCTTGGCCTCGGGGTCTCGAACGTTGTTGGCTCGGTGTTCTTCTGCTACCCGGCGTGCGGCTCGCTCTCGCGGTCAGTAGTGACTGCCGGTGCCGGCGGAGTGACGCCGGTCAACGCTCTGCTCTCGTCTGCGGTGGTGGCGATTATTGTGGCGTTTGCCACCAAGCCGTTTGAGATCACGCCGCAGGCCGTCCTCGCCGCCATCATTCTCGTCGCGCTCAAGCGGCTGTTTCTCCAGGCCCGTGAGCTACCGGCGCTGTTCAAGGTCAAGAAGGCCGACGGCCTGGTCTGGGCCTTTGTCTTTGTGGCGGTGCTCGGTCTGGGAGTCTCTAACGGCCTTGTCGCCGGCGTACTTTTCTCGCTCGCCGTGGTGGTGTACAAGCAGCTGCGGCCATACACGGCGGTGCTGGGCCGGTTCCGCGGAACGCGCAACTACGGGCCGGTGGCGCGGTTCGGCGCCGAGACGAGCGAGTGGCCGCGCATCAAGGTTGTCTTCTACGGCGCCGATCTCTTCTACGGCAACGTCGGGCGGCTGGCGTCGTCCATCGATGCCTTTGTCGATGAAGCCATCACCGACTACGTCGTCCTCGATCTCTCGGCCGCCGCTGACGCCGACATCACCGCCATCAAGGCTCTCGCGGCGCTGCGGACCGAGTTGGCCGGCCGCGGCGTCACGCTCTTCATCTCGCACCCGCACAAGCGCATTCTCTCGCTCCTCGCGGCGCTCCGCCTCGACGAGCTGCCGGACGACATCCTCTTCACCGAGACGCACGACGCGTGTCTCGCGGCGCTTGCAGCGCTCGAGTCTGCGGCAAGTGTGACACAGCAGCCACAGCAGCCGTTGCCATCATCATCGCCATCGCTTCCGCAACCTCGAGCTGTGAGCGGCCGTGTCATCACAAACTACGGCTCGATCCAGTAGTCATGTCGCAGACCGCATGCGTTGACCTGCCTCGGACAGCCTCCTGTCAAATAGTCAACAGGTTGCAGCTACGCGCGCCCCTTTTACAGTAAGGACCGCGGGAGAGTAGCAGTGAACACCCAAGTCTTCCGGGGTTTGATTTACACCTTGGGAGTCATTCTTGGCGTTGAGTTGATCCCTGACGGATCAGGCGAGCAGGCCGGCCTCCCGCTTCTCGCTGGTGGCACGAAATATACAGATATGTTTGAAGGGTAGGGATGGAGATTAGACAGCCAAGAAGCTGGTAGTTGGTAGTAGTGTCAACGATGTACGGGTACTGTGAGTGTGAGTGGAGAAGGCGCAGGTGGGCGGCTGTATGGGGTGGTGGTGTAGGGGTGGCGTGAGGTCGAGGTTAATTGAGTGTGATTGATTATAGTTGGGCGGGACTGGGTGGCACGAAATATGCAGTTATGCAGTGAATTTGGGCGCGCCAGCGGTATAAAAGGCGGCGCACTCGTCCGTCATCGCCCGCGCTGAGGTGAGGCATACTTCAACTCTCAATTCATCATGTCTGGACGTGGTAAGGGTGGCAAGGGCCTCGGCAAGGGCGGCGCTAAGCGTCACCGCAAGATCCTTCGGGACAACATCCAGGGTATCACCAAGCCCGCGATCCGGCGTCTTGCTCGCCGTGGCGGTGTCAAGCGCATCTCCGGCCTCATCTACGAGGAGACCCGCGGTGTCCTCAAGCAGTTCCTCGAGTCGGTCATCCGCGACGCGGTGACCTACACCGAGCACGCTCGCCGCAAGACCGTGACCTCGATGGATGTCGTCTACGCGCTCAAGCGCCAGGGCCGCACCCTCTACGGCTTCGGTGGCTAAGCATGGTGTCGCTGGCGGGCGCAAGCTCACAGCAACAGCAACAACAACAACAACAACCTGTGTTCTTTTCAGAACACACCACGTAGCGCAGCTCGGGCAGCAAATGAAGAAACCAAATCATGTGGAGCAGTCGATCGATGGGAGAGGGGGGGTGGGGTGGCACGATTGGGAGGCGTGGAAGTCGCTGTACAAGGGGGGATGACGCGGCGCCAGGCGCAGTGAAACGGTGGGCCCAGCGCCAAGGACATTGCTTGGTACGGCATTACGTGCGGACCGTTCCCGCGTGGAGGGATGGAGTGCTGTCAACGTGGTGCCAAAGTCAGTGAGCCACACAATATCGGCTCGGCCCGCCGACGAGTCAGCAGCGGTCACAGCCGCGCACAAACAAAGACGATCATGGTGAGAGTGCAGACGGACCCACACCAAAGAGCGGGGTTGCCTGTCTTGCCAACGAAACTGCCAACGAACTCTATACTGTCACTTGGCTGGTCGGCATCGACTCGGCGGCTTACCCACTCGTCGGTCCTTCAGCTCGGTCATTATCCATGCGAGAGCCTTCTTCTTCTTCAGATAGAGCCTTGTGTGGCTATTGGTCCTTTGCTAATGTTCGGCTTGTCTACGTCCTCACCGTGCTCTTGGTTCTCTACCCGCTCTTCTCGCTCTTAGCTCTGTCGTCCAACAGCTCACTCGGGTCATCGTCTGCCACTCATTCTGTAACTTTGCATGCACCTCCCGCGCCCCCCGCGCCCCCCGCGCCCCCCGCGCCCCCTGCACCTCCCGCACCTCCCGCGCCTCCCGCGCCTTCCGCGCCTCCCGCACCTCCGGCGCCATCAACTTCATCCTCGTCTGCTGCCACGCCTTCGCCCATAACGCCCGGGTCTACTCTTGCCCGTATGATCGGCCGCATTTCCGTGGCGTCTTCGAGATGTGTCGTCCGTCGAGGACAGCGCAACTTCTTAGGATCTTCGAAGCTGGATAAAATCCATGCGACGGCGATGACGTTCGGTCAGAAACGAACGAAAGGCTGTGTCCATTACCTGCGTTACGTCCCTCGCGCCGCGAGAAGGATGCCAAGGCGGAGCTCGCAGCGACCGGGCCATAGGTCCCTCTCGCCCGAGACAGACGCTGCGATCTATGAACCATGCAATAAGTCACCAGTCTGAAGTCATGAGACACGATTGCCCGAGCGCGCCGACGA